GTTTCGTTCTGCTGTGCATGGGGTCGCTATGAGTCAGAAACGACTTGATGGCACTTAACAACAACAACACCCCAAAATTTAATATATAATTGTTCACTTCAAGGTTTAAGATATAGTCAAGATTCCAGTCAAATTAAAGTTCATAAACTGCCATTTGTAATTATATATACTTGGTATCATTTACTTCTCCTTTATGCTTTTAAGTGTTTTCTAAATTCCAATGAGCATGTGTTACTTTCAAAATTAGTAATATAAATATTTTTTAAATAGAGAAAATAATATTTATTTAAAAAAACACTTACCTTGTTACAATAGCAATCTGTGGCCATTAGAGGAAACATTAGCTAGTAAGATGTTTATTATAGGATAGGCATTGTTGTAAGTGCATTATCTCATATAATCCTTACCAAAAAACTTAAGTGATAAGATATTATCAACATTTAAGATAAGGAAACAGAGGCACAGCAAGGCTAAGAAACTGTTCAGTTTTACCACATGGGAAGAAAACAGAGCCAAAGGCAATTAAACACTCAAAGATAACCACTGTGCATATTTTAGAGTATTTCCATCTATAATTTTTCTCTGCAAAACTATATATGTAGTTTTTGAAGCTTTTTTTTTTTTTAAATTTTTATTGTTGCTTTAGGTAAAAGTTTACAGAGCAAATTCACTTTCCATACAGCAGCTCACATACACTTTGTCTCATGACAATGACTACAATTTAACACAATGCAACAGCCCCCACCCACTTCCCCATAGTTACCTCTTCCCTGTGTTCTTTCCTCTCATTCATTCCTGCTCCCTGAGCTGTCTCCCTGTGTATACACATCCCTTCTATTCTCCCATGATTGAATCTCTCCAAGAAGTGTACCTATCTAATGTAAATGTGCAGCTCATATGTCTGCCTTTTGTTTGGCTGGAAGCCACAAGAGTGGGTTCAATTCCAGACCTGAATGGCAACTAGGGGCCATAGTCTCAGTGGTTCCATCAGGCTCTATCAGACCAGCAAACCTGCTTTTTTTAAAAAAATAAAAAAAGAATTCTGAGGTTTGTTCCACATTGTTCTCCTACTCTATCCAGGATCTCCTATACGGATCCCCCTACAAGTGGTTGACAGTGGTAGCTGAGGACCATCTAGTTGTTCTGGTCTCATGGTCGTATAGGCTGAGGATCGCATGGTGTACCAGTCGCTTGGACTGTTTCCATGAATTTTTTGTTTTCTTCATTCTTCTTTGCTCTGGACGAGGAGAGACCCATCACTGCATCTACAAGGCCGCTTGCAAGCTTCTAAGATTCCAGTTGCTACTCGCCAAAGTAGGAGGTGGAACAATGTTTTGTGTAGTATGTTATGCCAATTGAGCTTATGTCCCCTGTGACTATGATCCCGAGCCCACAGGTCCAACTCCTCGCTCCCTCTGGGTAGCTGGCTGTGGCTAAGAAGTAACTACAACCTTGCCCCTTGTCAGCTCTACTATATATATGCCTGGGAATTCTTATGGAACATACAGATACACTTGTAGAAACACTATCTGCTAACTCTATATATGTGTCTTAACCCCTGCATAGACACACCTAATAGTTCAGCCTGTCCACCCATCTATCTGCCCGTATATCCATGTTTGCCTTCACTGACAAGGCAGTACTCTAAGGGAAGCTGTTTGGAGGTTCAAACCCAGCAGCCACTCCTCGGAAGGAAGATGGGGCAATCTACTTCCATAGTGATACTGCCTCAGAAACCCAAGGAGGGGTTGCTATGAGTCAGGTCCGACTCGACGGCACATAACAACAACAAATATTACATGAAGTGTATATTCTCATTTCATTAAATATTCTTAAAAACAAATTTTAATGGTTACATAATATTTCATTTTATGGATAAAATTTGGTTTTTCTAACAAAACTTCTTGTTTAAAATTTAGATTGTATCTAATTCTTGGCACATTATTACTTTTAACTTCATATGAAGTACCAAGTACAGCGTTGCTATATAATAAGCTCAAAAACATTAACTGAAACGCGTCTTTGTAAAACACTAGTTAAAATAGAATTCTTAGAAAAGATCACTAAATTTTACTATATAAAGTGAAAAACTTTACATGGCAAAAAATCATAAACCACATCAAAAGACAACTGACAAACTGGGAAAAAATATTTACAACATATACTGCAGACAAAGAGTTAGTATTTCTTATAAAGAATTTTTAAAAACTGAGTATCAAACAACCTAAAATCCTATGGAAAACTGGTAAAGATATAAAGACAATTCACAAAGATATAAAAATGGCCCTCAACATAAAAACATTCAAACTTATTCATAATTTTTAAAATTAAAACACTAAGAAGCCATGTATTACCTATCAGACTGTTAAAAACAATAATTAAAAAAAATGATCAAGTATTCTGTTGGCAAGGCTGTGGGGGAAACAGGTAACCTCATACATTGCTAGGGAGACTGCAAACTTATGCAACCCTTCCAGAGGGATATGTGATAATACCTAGCAAAATTATATATGCACTTAACTTTAGACCTGTTGTTGTTGTTAAGTGCCGTCGAGTCGGACCAACTCATAGCGAGCCCTCCTTGGGTTTCCGAGGCGGTATCACAACAGAAGTAGATTGCCCAACCTTCCTTCTGAGGAATGGCTGATGGGTTTGAACCGCCAGCCTTCTGGTTAACAGTCAAGTGCTTTAGGCACTATGCTACCAGAGCTCCTAACTTTAGACCTAGTAATTCCAATTCTATATAATATAGTCCACCTTCTCAGTTTATTAGCTCAGCATACTGAATAAGTGTGAGGAAAGGATACAACCCTGATACACACCTTTCCTGATTTTAAACCATGCAGTATTCCCTTTTTCTGTTTGAACACTCAACTGCCTCTTGGTCTATGTAAGGTTCCTCATGAGCACAATTAATTATTCTGGAATTCCCATTCTTTGTAATCTTATCCATTGCTATTTATAAGGTTTTCTTGCACTATATCAGACAGTGCTACACTGCTATTTATAAGGTTTTTTCAGTAGCCAATTTTTCAGAAGTGGACTCCCACATCCTCCTTCCTAGTCTGAAAGCTCTGTTGAAACCATGGGTGACCCTGCTGGTACTGGAAATTCTGGTGGCATAGCTTCCAGTATCACAACACCACCACCACAGTACAACAAACTGACAGATGAGTGGTGGCTGTCAGGAGTATGGGTTAGCATACTTTATACGTGCATGATTGAACAAATAAGTAAATGTATTGTAGATGAGATATGTACATACAAATATATTGTATGAGAGCCAGGTTTCCCACTGTTGGGAAAAGAAATTATAAATAAGGCAAAGTGGTGTTGAATTGGAAATGGAGGATCAATTTGAATTCAAGTATTTTAATGTATATACAGATAGGTAAATACAGAAATATGGATGCAATCATATGCCTAGTTTAGCATGCGCGCGCACGCGCACGTGCACACACACACACACTCTTCTAGCTGCCTGCTAAGAGGCTCTAGAAACACAGAACATATCCTAGTGCCCAGATTCTAAATTCCAAATATCATTCTCTATAAAAGGAAAAGTGCTCCTCATTTCTGAGGTAGATTCCGGGACTGGGGCTGTGAAAATATAAGATGAGCATGGAACATCTTGTGGTGGTAGAAAATTATCATGAGCTTGTACTCAAAAAAGGATGAAGCATGTCCAAAGGAAACAACAGCAAATCTGAAAGAGCTCAGAATGAGCAAAACTGGAAAAATTTGAGTAAAAAATTGGTATTGGATAATAACTCATAGAATAAAATAAATATCCAGGGGTCCATACTGATATAAATTTTAAAATGAAGAAATAAAAAAATATAGGGGAAAAGAATGACAATTTATAAACATAAAAGGAATGAGGAAAATATAACATCAACCCTAAGCAGATTATTATTAATAATTATTTAATAATTATTAATAAATAAGTGCTCCAGGCAAGATTCATAGATGGTAAAAACAGTGTCTTAGGAGCTTTAGGAAAAGATATTATTTGCAGAGTGTCAAAACATCTCTCTCAAGGTATTTATTAACTAAGACAAAAATAGCAATTTCATAGTGAAGAAAATTGGAAGACATCACCTTAATTAAATGATCAAGGTTAATGATGCATATGACATTATACACTCTCTGATATGATGAAAAGGCCACAATGCCACTTCTGTAGTATTCCTGCCAAAAATGCAAGATGCATATTTAATCACGAGAAAGTATCAGACAATTCTAAATTAAGAGTCATTCTACAAAATAATCGACCAGTATTCTTCAAAACCACCACTTGCCTGTCAGTTTGTCTTATTGTGGTCGCTTGCATACTGCTGGGAGGCTGGAAGCTATACCACCAGTATGTCAAATGCCAGCAAGGTCACATCTGGACAGGTTTCAGTGGAGCTTCCAGATTAAGACTCAGAAGAAGGAAGGGGCCACCCACTTCTCAAAGAATTGCCCTGTGAAAACCTTATGAATAGCAGTGAAACACTATCTGATATATTACTGGACAACTTTATGAATAGCCCTGAAACATTGCCCGATACAGTGCCAGAAGATGAGCCCCTCAGGAAGAAAGGCACTGAAAATACAACTGGGGAAGGGATGCCTCCTCAGAGTAGAGCTGACCTTAATGATGTGGATGGAGTAAAGCTTTCAGGACCTCCATTTGCTGATGTGGCATGACTCAAAATGAGTAGAAACAGCTGCAAACATCCATTAATAATCGGAACATGGAATGTATGAAGTATAAACCTAGAAAAATTGGAAGTTGTCAAAAATGAAATGGAACACATAAAGATCGATATGCTAGGCATTAGTGAGCCGAAAAGGACCGGATTTGGCCATTTTGAATCAGAAAACCGTATGAACTACTATACCGGGAATGACAAAGTGAAGAGAAATGGCATGGCATTCATTGTCACAAAGGTATTTCAAGATCTATTCTGAAGTACAATGCTGTTAGTGATAGGATAATATCCATATGCCTACAAGGAAGACCAGTTACTACTACTATTATTCAAACTTACACACCAACCACCAAAGCCAAAGAGGAAGAAATTGAAGATTTTTACCAACTTCTGCAGTCTGAACATGCAATCAAGATGTGTTGATTATCACTGGTGATTGGAATGCAAAAGTTGGAAACAAAGAATCACCTGTACTTTGAAAATATAGCCTTGGTGATAGAAATAATGCTAGAGATCACATGATAGAATTTTGCAAGGCCAATGACTTATTCATTGCAAATATCTTTTTTCCCCAACACAAACAGAAGCTATACATGTGGACTTTGCCAGATGGAGTACACAGGAATCAGATCAACTACATCTGTGGAAAGAGGTCATGGAGAACCTCAGTATTTTCAGCCAAAACAAGTCCAGGAGCTGACTGGAACAGACCATCGACTGCTTACATGCAAGTTCAAGTTGAAGCTGAAGACAATTAAAACAAGCCCATGGGAGCCAAAATATGACCTTGATCATATCCCTCCTGAATTTAGAGACCACCTAAAGAGTAGATTTGATGTACTGAACACCAATGAATGAAAACCAGAGGAATTGTGGGATGACATCAAGAACATCATCCATGGAGAAGGCAAAAGGTCATTAATAAGACAGGAAAGGAAGAAGAGACTCTGAAACTTGCTCTTGAATGGAGAGTAGCTAAAGCAAATGGAAAAAATGACAAGATAAAAGAGCTGAACAGAAGAGAGCAGCTCAAGAAAACAAAGTCAATTATTATAATGAAATGTGCAAAGACTTGGAGTTAGAAAACCAAAAACGAAGAACACGCTCGGCATTTCTCAAGCTGAAAGAACTGAAGGAAAAATTCAAGCCTCAAGTTGCAATACTGAAAGTCTCTATGGGGAAAAATACTGAATGATGCAGGAAACATCAAAAGAAGATATAAGGAATACACAGTCACTGTACCAAAAAGAATTACTCAAAAAAGTGGCCATCTAGATGCAACGATGGGTCTCTCCTCATCCAGAGCAAAGAAGAATG